CAAAAGTCTGTACTTTAATCTGATTGAGAAGTTTTGGCATGATCTTAAATAGCCTGTTTATGCTGGTAAACACGCCAATGTGGCTGAATTACAACAATTCTGCAAAGAAGAGTGGGCCAAAATTCCTCCACTGTGATGTGAAAGAGTCATTGGCAGCTATCACAAACACTTCATTGCAGTTCTTGCTGCCAAGGGCGGCACAAACTGTTGTTAGGTTTAAAAGGCAGTGACTTTGGCACAGATGGTCAGATAGACTTGGATAGCTTTTTATTCTTCCCTTAATAACTGAAATCATCATTCAAAAACAGCATTTTGTATTTCCATTGGTTATCTTTGTCTAATATGTAAGTGAGACAAATATGCAAAAAAATAAGAAATCAGGAAGAGGACAAATACTTTTTCACAGTTAATCTGTTAATTTATTATGTTTTTAACGTTGCTGTTTTAGTGACGCCTGTAGCACTCTCTCTGATCTCCTTTTTCTTTTCTTGTCATGTCTCTGTGAGTATTCTCCAGTCTCTGTTTTTGGTATCTGAAGAGAATGGATGCCTGCTCAATCAACTGCAAAACAAATCTATCTTAGAGCATCAATAAAAATGTTTGTCCATAATGCACAGCACCATGTTTCAGCACAAACCCCTCTTATACTGTCATACTGTGGAGGCATGATGATTTGGGCTTTTTTGCAGCCACAGGACCCGAGCACCTTGCATTCAGAGTCAACTACAAATTCTTCTGTATAACAAAGTAGGGACGCTTGGCATAACAGGAGAATGATCCTAAGCAGAGCAGCAATACTACAACAGAATGGTTGAAAAAGAAAAGAGTCAAAGTGTTGCAATGACCCAAAGTCCAGGCCTCAACCCAATTAAAAAGCTGCAGTTGCACCTTAGAGAGCTGTAGACAAATGACCTGCCAGCATGTACAGAAGAGTGGGCCCAAACTGATAAAATCATGCAGAAAATTATTACTTCAAGTTATTGCTGCTAAAAGTGTTTCTAAGATCTACTGGGGTGCACTTAGTTTTTCATAGAACTGTATATGCACTTTGTCAGCATGTGCAGTAGTTTTGTGAAACATGATCAGATCGCTGTGAAGACATTTGTTTTTAAAGCATGCGGTCACCTCTGAATATCCCTCAGTTTACTGCACAGCAGCTTCTCGCCATTAGCCTGACTCTGTCAGATAAGAAGAGTGTTACTTTCTGTGCCTCGGTTAACACAACATTTCCCCTCTGAGAGTCATGTGACAGCTGAATTACATTTGTTTGACCTCGCTTTAAGGAGTGAGTGGCTGGATCACGACTGTGCCTAAAAAATATTTAGGTGTGGGAATTTGGACCAGTGTGGTGGCCTGCCACTGCATCGATCCCACTCGCCTTTTGCAAGTGAAAATCTAAAATATGTCCTGGTTCACAAACAAGTGGAATGAGGATTAAAGAATCCCAACAAAGAACAGCCACAGATAACTAAACGGTCCCTCTCTCCATCTCACCTGGGGCCCTTACCCCATTACCCCCACCCACTCCAACACCAGCACTGCATTTCGACCCCCACCCCCCACCTCAACCCCCATATATCAATTTCCTTTAGATGTTCCCCCTCACACAATTGGAGTAACTAGAGTCTTTCCTTTTTGCGGGCGGTGGAGAGATGAAGCAGAACACACAATGGCCTATTCATTTAGGTAACAACACACACAAACACACAAACTTTAAGCACATAGACTTTCATGTAAACACATTGTACCCACATATTACACACTCACACAGCATCCCACCTCACTCCCCAGCTGCAGTAAAAGTCCCCCCAACCCATCCAGCCTTACAAACTGGTAGAGAGAACAGGCGCTTTGGTGGTATAGGCACAAAGATTGGATTCACTGGTGGCCAAAGGGAGACGATTTAAACGAAACACAGCTGCAGGAATTTAAGAATGATAGATGAAAGGAAAACATGAGGAAGAATGATAGATTAAATAATTTTTTATTATCTATTTGAAGATCTCTTGATAGTATAAATTGGATGTAACTGATATGCATCACTCCTATAAAATAAACATAAATTGTAAAAGTTCCATTATTTACAGTGTTTGGCTGTGATGTGGGATTACTACAGGCTAGTTTTAATTTGGAGAAACGATCTAATGTGCAGAATGAATAATGATAATGAAATCAGGATAAACTCCCACAAAGTTCTTGGGAAAGCCTCTGAATCCTTACGGATTCCAGCTGCGCCACTGTCTGCCGGACCCTGACCTCTTTAGGGGAATTAAAGAGGAATCCATCAGTATCTTGGTATTATACTCTCTATTACTCAGACTTGAGTGAATTTGTCAAAAAATATATGAAAAAAAACGAGTTGATTACATTTGTAATGACTTAATAACTGCACTATTAACTTTGCACCGGATCCTTCTGCAAGGTTCACTGACCTACTTCAACAGGGGGACACTGAAACACCTGCCGTTTGCTGCACAGGTGCACAAAATAAAGAGAAAACGTGATTAGGGTTAGGTAACGTTCTCAGCATCTGAGACCTGGAGACTTACAGAGTGTGTTACTCTTCTCCAACAGTGGCTGTAACATCTTTCAGAGACCCCAGGACATGTTAAATAAATCTAAACAACCAGATTTTTGCATTGTATTTTGTTTAAATGAGCCTTTTAGAAAACAAAAGAAACAGTAATATAGTTTTAGATAAAGGTAAAGTGCACCAAGTAACATGCATGAAAAAAGATGTTTAAATATCTATTTAAATACGAAAAAATACGAAAAAATTTATTTAAATACATATTTAAATATGTTAAATATGTAATCGTTGTGATTTAGTTGACTACCTTAATACAGCTAATAAAGCCTTTATTAACTGGTGCAAATAGCCTGATGCAAAGTCAGTTCAGTTCACACAACTCCCAAAATAGATATGGTGAACTTATTAAAGAAAATGATCTAACATTTGATATCCCTGTGAACCTCTAAATGTAAGTAAATCTGTCTTGATTTAAATTTTAGTTTCCTTTGTATCAACATTTAATGACTTTTAGGATGTTTTATGTCATATTCATTCAGTGGGGTTGTCATCACAACATTGATATTTAAGCATGAACTATGATTATTGTGTCATTTTTGTATATATGATAATAATGTGTATAATTGTGTATTTGCTCTCCTGATATGTTTTTACGTGAGCTTTAACGTTACACCAAAATGTATTTTCATTTCGAATTTAATAATTTTAAAAAACACATGATTAGACTGACAGCATTAGTCTCTTTAATATTATTTTACATTTTATTGACCTCATTGATTGCGAAATGAAAAACTGCAGAAATATAGACGATTCTGAAGGTTTGAATGTGTCTTCATATAATTTTTAAAACCTTATATATTTTAACTTTTGTGCTATTTCTGCGTAGTGATATACTAGGTTATAGAGATATAGAAATAACCTGACACTAAAGACGAGACACAGCATGATATGAAATATCTCTGTGTGATAACACTTTAAAAATTCTAAATTAAATGTATTTTCTCCATTTATCATTTGCTTTGCTTTGTCCTCTAAAGTATGTTTAACACCGCTGTACAAAGCCAAGTTGAGTCTTAGAGACGATGGTCGGCTGTGAGAGGATAGCATGACCCTGCGGCTCTGATGGGGGTGAGCCCCCACCAACACACACACACACACACACACACACACACACACACACACACACACACACACACACACACACACACACACACACACACACACACAC